GGTAGGTAGAGAGAGAGAGAGAGATGGAGAGAGAGAGAGAGAAAAAAAAAGAGAGTGAGAGAGAGAAAGAGAGAAAGAGAGAGAGAGAGAGACGGATAGAGGGAGAGAGAGAAGGAGAGCACGCACACCTTCCACCCGCTCCCCCCGCCACTCATCCGTACCCCATGGTAGAAGCCCCCCCGTGCCTGTGGCGTGGTTCCTGTCTCGGGTGTGGTGTTTCCCCTCTTCTGTGTGGAAACACTGGTTGTCATGACATCGACGTCCGTCGCTTCGTCTCGAATGTCTCGAATTGGCTTGGCACTGTTTTCCTGGAAGGGTGGTTTTCACCGTAACCCTGCAACCTCCCATGCAGATCACGACTTCGCAACAGCCTGTGTAAGAAACACCAACAGGTCCGGTCCCTGTGACTACTGGACCTTTTACATCGCGGCGACCGCCTGCCCAAACGACGATGACTATCACGAGGACACTGCTGCATGTGTTGAACTCAGCCCTTTTGAGGGGGCTGGTAGTGGGGACACGGAATCAGATGCTGTGTCAGTACAGTATAACGCAGTATACTACTGTACATCATATTATATTAATATGTTGCACTATCTCATTTCGCACGCATATCATACATTGTCACACTATGTCACTATGTCACGACGTTAGATTCGTTCAAGATGTGCGGCACATGCACTTGGGCCCAGCCTGTTTGAGCAAAGCGTCTGACCTCTCGCCCTTCAAGCTTGTATGCTTGGAACATGTTAATGCTACCCGAAAGCCCAATAGACAGCAGCGTTAATACACAGAAGCACGATGCCCTCAAATCATTGCTCATCCCCATCCTCCTCGGCTCGCCGTTCTGCGGCGCTAGTCTCGATAGTTGCCGGCTCCTGGATCCGTCGCATGGAAGCTGACCAGAATTAGAGGGGCCGAGTGTTCAATACACGGGCACACATGGGTTGAACATAGGCATCTGCTCAATGGACCCGCACAGCAGAATGCCACTCCAAAGGAACGTTAATTGAAGCTGAACTCTAACCTTCCACCCTCCTTGCGCAGAGCTCTGTGTCGGCTACTGGACATTGCACCACAAGGTTTTCGCTCGAAGTTGTATTGCAAGTTGGGACAGCAGCGCTCAAACACCGCACTCCGCAAGCTGAGGCGACAGAACCCTAATTGAGGCAGGTGAATGCCAAGGAACCTTATCAAGCAAGAAAGAAAATGAAAGCACATAGCAGAACGTGGCTGCCAACAACACTCCTTCCTCGACTAGCCTGTCTCAACATCTCAGTCAAGGTCTATCTTCGGTCTGAATCAGTGCATCATTCGGCATGCCTCCTCCTCGTCGTCCGAAACATTCGCTGCCGAGACGGATATCTGGCCAAGTGGCCACACAACATCTCCAAACACCAATCGGTCTCTCAGAGCATCTGACAACCCGCAGGAAAGCGCAGAGTCAGCCATTACTGTAGCTCTTTTGTCGCTGAGGCGAGCCCCCTCCCGGCTCAACGATCTCCGGCAGTTTCAGAGTCGTGGCTCATCACCCGTCGAATGGCCCGAGACCATGTTGTAGTAGTAAACCTGCAAAGAGTTTCGTGCTCGTAGGATTTCGTCAGGTCGAACCATGTTCTTGTAACTCTGCCATCGTTTACATCGGCTAGATATCACCTGCCTTGCCCGTCGACTTGGCTCGGATTCGAATCCAGTTCGGTTTGAGCGGGGGCCTTGCTTGGCACGGTGTGTGTGAAGGCAATGAGGCATGCTGCTTATTATTTGCTGAGGAGATATCTGAGCATGCGAGCACAACCCTGGAAAATGTGTCAGAAGAGACACTGTCGTCGCAGCACTTGCAGGCATGCCGGCTTGCCCAGGCTTCCGCAGGCCAAGATGAGATCTTACTGTCAGGCTCGAACTCGGACTCCTCGCTGTCGCTGTCAGCACCGGGGCCCGAGCAACGAGCCGAAAAGTCGGGCCTGAGCAAGCTGCCACCTGGGTTTAGGGTTTAGGGGTTTAGGGCTTAGGATTTAGGGTCTAGGGCCTGGGCTCTGCACCACAGACGATGCGTGTGACCCAGAAAATGCGCATTCACGCATGTTGCCACGCAACAGCCAACATTTCCATCGGCTTGCATCCATGTCACTTCGTGCCTGTCTTCTGACTTGTACAGCCTGTAGGCCCCGAGGCTCTGATTCGGGCTTCGAGGCCATACTCCAAGCTGAGTGCCCTGCTCCTCTGGTGTGGAAGGTGGCTTCGGTGTGGGTGTCTGCAGTGCGCTGACAGGACTTTTGAGACTCTCCGTTGCTCTCTCATTCTCATTCATTTGCTCTCTCTCGCTCTCTTTGCCAAGCTTGGAGGAGGGGGCAGCTCTGGAACCTCCGCCACCCACCCACCCACCCACCCACCCCCTTTATGTCTGCGCGCACACCTGCCAGTCCCGGCATCTTCGGACCCCTCTGGGTAGACTTTCCGGGAGCTCGGCTAGACGACTGCGCTCCCTGCTTTGGAGTCAGTGCATCCCCTATCGAGCTCATCACAGGACATGCACAGGAGATTATCTGTACGGTCACATCTTATGGATGCACTGCCCCCCGGGCTTACAGAAGCACTCAGAAAGCACTCACTTCGCACATGTTACACGCCCAACAGGTCAAAACACCACACTGCCTCTGCAAGTCTCATTCATTCGGTGTCTCTGTCTCTTTGCCGTGCCTCGGGACACTGCTCGGCCTTGCACATGCAGCGGGAGCCCGACAACTCATTGCAGAGACGTACGATCGGCATTGGTCGTTCTATCAAATCTTCGAGGAAGGAAGGCTCCCTTAACTCCATGACCCTCCACCAAGCACACCTGGGCAGCCCCTGCCTGCAGAAACTCAATCGAGTCCGCAATCGGGTCGTCGTCGTAGAGGCCCCCCTGCTAATGTGACTTGTGCTGTTGCCGGGCGAGGTCGAGGTGACTATCTGCACAGCGAGTTCAGAAGAACCGGACCGAAGACAAGCACTTTGCTCGCACGACATGCTCGTAGAACGCGTCGAAGAACACAGCTTTCGCATCATACTACATATACGGTCATGCTTTCGCAGAAAATCCTGGAAGTCCAGGAGTGCTTCCTCTTCCGCCGGTGGAGCTGGCTCCTGACGACTGTGGCCATCCCGCGGAGATACTAGGCTCGAGACAGTCTCTACGTGAAATCACACTGCACTCCATTCATCTGCTCACTTTAGCACGTTCGACCGTGGCCGTCCTCTGCCATGAACAAGCTTGGGCCGTCGCACTCCTCCAAATCTCATCAGTCCGGTTTAACGGGAGTTTAAAAACCTATTCAGAAGCCATGGCAGCAGTGATTTTTGCACGTTCGATCGGTTCTGTCATGGTCCCGATGCCTGCACCTCCAGCTCCTCCATGCCATCCAACTCCTCTGCTCAAATCACTTTGCGGCTTTCTCCTTTTTGGTGATGTTTTTGTGTCTCTTGATGCCAGGGCCTCGCCATCTCCAGCAGTGACCGGCCTGTGCCGCTTCACGCCTCGAGCTGCCAGGACCTGACGGGAAGGAGCAGCGGCCCCAGCATTTGGACTCTCATAAGCTCCCGACCTTCACATTCCGCGCCCATATCGTGGCAGCATTGTGCTTGGGCTCCTTGGGCGAGTACATCCGGAAGTGTACGTTCATATGATACAATGCTGCCCTGTGGAATGTCCGTTGCATCATTGCTTGGCTGTGAAGAACCCTACAAGTAGCTATGCTGGGAGCAGCGCTTCGACTGTGAAGGACACTCGATCTCCCGGCTTCAGGTCATCCGGCACCTCGCAGTGTTTCTCATGAGAGTTAGCTAGTGGTGATCTCTTGAATCTCTTGAGGATTTTTTACGAGTTGCAGAAACGACGCCTCGTCTGCTGCTATTTCAGCATCCTGTCCGTAGACATCCGAGATGTCCTGCCAACAGCACATCTGCACCCCCCCCCATTGGCCAAGTTGAGGTCGGCACATCGAAAATCTGTACCGCTTTCTATCCTTGCCCAGCCTGGCAGATCACTTGATAGCGACCCGTCTTCTTGTTCGGCCTCCTCAGCACGGGAGGCGTGGTGCCCGCTAATGGGATGAACGCGCGACGCTTGATCAGGAAATTGGTCAAACAAAACTAGAGACGAAGAGGCCCGCAAGTCTTTCCGGGGATTCGAAGTTTTGCCTGGTGCACTTGGCAGGAAACCCTTTTCATGGGCTGCATTGGATGTGATGAGCCAGCACAGTGCCATTCTTCAAAAGGGCTTCCACAGCCCCTCGCAGAGCTCAGCTGGATTTAAGGGCTGTGCTGGACAAGGCCGAGCATCCGCAAAGGTGCCTGAATGCTAGGGCTGAGGATAGCAGAGACTTGTCAGCGCCAGAGATTCCGCGGCCTTGCCGCTGCTCACCGGCGCAGGTGCAGGAGCTTCGGCCTTGTTCTTTGCCTCTGCAAGCAAACAGCACCATGTCCAACATGCAAAACAGCTGGATGGACCGCCTGCCACTTCGCCCCCTTTTGAGGCGCCACCTTGCATGTCGAAGATCAGGGCAGGAGCCGACAATCCCCATCTGCCTCGCCGGCAGCCACGCGCTGCTTGCTCGGCTTTTCCGTGGCTTTGGCTTTTGTCTCCTCTGGAAGCCAGAACCCGCAAGCAAAACTGCGTAGCTATGCTGGCGACCAAGTCGGCCTTCGGCTTGCGCAAGGACTGGGATGCGGCTTTCCTGCACATCTTGTGCCCAGAGGATGCTGGGCGCTATACACATGTGGGAGGCGAAATGCTCACACGGCAAAGACTGAGCTGAAAAAGCTCTGACTGGCCGTTTCTGAGCACAGTGTTCTGCGCTATACATGCCTTGTGGATCCATCACTAGCAGTCTGAGACAGTTTTGCAGGCTGATCAGTGCACTTATCGCTGTTGCACTGCAAGGGCCCAACTATGCACGAAGTCACTAAGGCTGAATTGCGTTCGGTCGGAGATGTCATCCTATCCCACGCAACACAGCCCTGCCGCCCAACGAAACATGTGGCACCCAGGGCCTCTTGCTCGCAAGCCGCCAAACCTCAGCCACGTGTAAGCTGAAATGCTCTAAGTAGGTGTCCGCAGGCACGCATGCATGGATGATGCATGTCGTGATGTCAGGTGCTGCAACGCTAAGTTAGCGGCATTTACTGCCAGCGGCGCCATGTTGGGCCGCGGGACAACTCCAAACCTGGGGAGCCAGAAGCACAACCGTACCAAACCACACTGTAGAATACCGTGCAATCGATGACACCACACGCTGACACCTGATATGCTATGAGGTGACCTGTAGAATGTAGAAATATGCTATACCATCATTCAGAAACCAGTGCTTCAGGTATGGTGTGATCCGACTTCTGAGGTCACCCGACGATCGTGCCAGGGCAGCAAAATTTCAAGTCAACTGCCACATACCGCACGAGGCATCGCGACCGGAAACACTTCCGGAACTAGCTGAGAGAAAGATCCAAAGCCTTATAGAAATCATGACTACTCCGAGGGCTCAGCGCAATCTCGTCATCCAAGGAAACGAAGATGGTGCGCCCATCATCTAGGATTTCGGCCTCCTGTCCATACCTGGCCACGCTAAACCGTCCCTAGTCACTCTAGCGGCCGGCATGGAACTCGATTCTTGGTACGAGTACTAAAATAGATAGTGCGGAACGTGGCCTGGTTGTGACAGCCTCGCAGAGCACGGCCAAGTGCTCAACGCGATTGATGTCCCGACGGATCACCTATGGAGGGAAAACGCACCAGCTTTGGACGTTTTCAGCTATTTCAGCCGCCACCGGACCACCCACTCCTGCGGTTCCACTGAGCTGTCCGCAACTTTGCCGGTGAAGGGCGAGCCGACCCAGGCCTGACAAAGGTCAGAACATGTGCTGTCGTCATCACTCTTCTCACTCTCGACTAATCTTGCCTCCCGCCACACTTCCTCCGAAGCCTTGGCGGTACGGATCACCCGCAGATAAACTACGGCCCCCAAAGACAGGCTTGTCTTGGGCGAGGGCCGCCATGTGCTGTGGAGAAGCCAGGCGGCTTGAACCATTCCAAGTCGTGCAGTGTGCACTGCTGGATGCCCCTCAAGGAGCTACAGCTACGAGTAAATACACACCTTTGGTCAGTGTAGCTGTCCGGCTTGGGGTTCTATGACCAAAGACGAGCTGGCACGGATGAAACATGGTCTGGCCCGTGGCATCTGCTGTTTCCAAGCACAACCCCCTGGATGCCAGCAGAAATCGTGGCGGCCGGCGACAGATCTTGGAACTGGACTGGACTACTTGAAGCTTTACGCACTTCTGCAAAGACCATGGAGGAGCCGGGGGCCGGGAAATGCTCTAGTGATGCAAGCCAGGGCAGTCCTGTTGTTCAAGAAGCTTTCTGTCAGTTCGTTTCTAAGGCCTGGCAGATGGTGACATGAGACAATGCAGACGGTACCTCGAACTCGGCAAAGGGCACCGGTGGATCTCCGTTTCTGGCGGCCAGAGGTACCAGTATGAATCGACACACATGGAGCGCACCATAAAGTCTCGGCAGGGCTTCAAACCATCACGAGCTGCACTGCTAAACGGAACCGATGCAAGATGAGGAGCCATGTGCTCGAGAGCCTCGCCCGCCTATCGCAGTCGCTGCACAGCTCCGGTGCCTTGCCTCAAAGGTCCAAGCGCGACTGTGGCAGCTATCAGCTTTCCACTGCATTCCAAAGTGCTCATTACCACACTACCGCCCTAGAGGCAAGTCTGCACCGTGTTCTTTGCGGCATCAGGATGCACCGAACGATGCGGTCGGCGACGTCACGGAAGCTTTCGTATCACCCGCCCAAGCAGGACCGGAAGATCCGCAGACATGATGACGGCAAGCCTCTGAGTGCCCTGGACGCATCCGAGCGTAGTTTGAGGCGTCAAGCAGCTTTGCCAAGATGCGTGGAACGTCCTGTGGCCGTTTTGGCTGCAGAATGGCCACGAAACCCTCATCCTCTGGGCACGACTGGAGGAGCTGAGGCTGCTCCCTTAGAGCACTGTTCAGCTCAATCAACCGGCCTTCAATACCGGCTTGGACCTGCATCCGTGAACCGTCCGACAAGGAGATGTCAGCAAGGACGGTCTTCGGAAGTAAATTCGCCCCACCCCTTCCGCGTTTGCCAAAGGCCTCGTGTTCGCTCATGCTGTCAGGAAACTGGACCTCGAGCACCCGAGGTGCTGACGGCTTAAGCAAGCTGTGAGATGGAGCCAGGCTCAACACAAGCAAACCGTTAGGATGCCGCAGAATGCACATATCTTGCGACTTGCCTGCACAATCAAGCATGTAGTACCTCACAAGCCCCTTGTTCAGAACATCTACCAGCGTGTCGGAATCTGCTGGCATCTCCATTGCTGGTGCGGCGGCCCCAGTAGGAGGTTGCATGTCAGCACCGCCTCCACCGCTTATCTACTGCTCATATTCCCGGCATTTCGCAGGAACAGGCATGGTTCACTGCGTGGAAAATCACAGCAACAACTGAAACCCGTGCTAAGAGTGTTCCTAGCGAGCTTCAAAGAGAGGCGGTAGTATGCACCTCAAGGTTAGTGTACAAATATGCTTTCACATGTTTCTGCAATGCCTGGTCATGTGCTTCCTTGCCGGTCTGCACACTACACTCGCCGAACCAACGGCTGAGCCAAACTCTGCGGTCGGAGACCTTGCGCACACGATCCTCAAGCTGCAAACCAGGACTCCCGAACCTTGAAGTCATCAGATCTTTTCGACAGCTTCGAGTCGAAAAACCCATGACATGGGCCGGTCTGCAGGTCCTGTCCTGAGTGCCTGGCCAGAAGCGAGGCCACAATGAGGGCAGCACAGGGCCTACAAACAAGCAAGACGAGATTTGGCGAAGAGCAGGCAGTACACAACCCAAGCACCTGTTTACAATCGGCAATGCGACATGTGAACAGCCAGTGTGTATTCCCATGTCACTTGGGTCTACGAACCTCAGGCTATCTGCGACATGGCGATCACGAAGTTCAACCGATTCTTGCTTCTGTCTGTCCCCCTTTAAAATTTTCTTCTTTCGTGCATGACTCTCGGACGGCTGAGACCTCCAGTTCGGCATCCGGCAAAGGCTCGCTGTGAATGGCGGCCTCGGTCCATATCTGAACAGCTCAAAAACGCCGCGATCACAAAGTTGACTGGAACGGCGTCGACTCAAACACCCTTCCCGGCACGCTTTGGTTCAGATGTACAAAAAAAGTATATTGCTACACCGCTATAAGGCTACTTCAAGGCAGCTGGTTGATGCCTTCGTCTGGGCAGCTGTGGCATAATTCCACCATACTTGGCTGTTGCTCTTCGTGATGTCTACGTCGAACCTGAAGAGATCATGTACGACTCTTGTATTTTGGGCTGCGAGCTTCCCTGTCTGGCTCGTCGTAGCTGTAGTATGGGCCTCGCACGGAGTCTTGGAAGACAAGAACAACACTCGAAGTCCACGGAGCCAGTTCACTGAGTGACCAGCAGTCTCGGGGCAGTTGAGCCCGAAAAACTCTCACCTGAATTTACGTCAACATGACAAGCCGACACTCCCGCAAAACGAAGGACCGCAGCTTTGCACACGAATGATAGCTGTAGATGCGAAATAAGACGAAACACGGGGATCTGCCACAAGCGGAAGCGCTACTCTCCCAAAGTTTTTGCTCCAGGATCTGCAGTTCCAAACCCTACTCGGATGTCAAGATCCCAACAAGTTTAGGGTCGCCGGTCTCGAAATGGTTTCGGTCTCAGGATCCGGAAGGCACCTCGTTCGGCTGGCAATTCGTGCAGACGAAGATGTGAAGGGTGCGATGAAAGCAAGACTCCTGCGGGTACGACACGTCAACCATGGACGTCTCTTTGCTCATCCCTAGCCAGTCTACGCCAGTGCGAGAATGCAGCACAAGAGGCACAACTCTGGGGGCTCCATGCCTTCCGCGTACCCTGGGACGCGTAGATCTGGCAAGACCATAGGCGGCTTGGCTGCTTCTTTGGCTACGGTCACTCCATGCATTTGTTTCCGAGTCTGCTTGCGTGGAGTCTCGAACAAGACCCTTTTGACCCCTTTGACTTGACCTCAGTCTGTTTCCTCTCACCCTGCAACCTCACGACCGCGGCCTGCATCAGGAATCGCATTCGCGAGCTACACCTGTGAACACAATTCGCTGGAGGCAGGGCAAGGCTTTCGTGCTCAGATAGGCTGTTTGGGCCTGTTAGCAGTTGGCGCTTGAGGCTCGCATGGGGACTTGTGGATGACGGCAACATGGCAGCTGAAACGGATGCTACTCTCTCTGCTGATGTTCACGTCCATGGACTTTGGTCAGCTGTGCCGCCATCGCTACGAGTACCAGTAGCACCGCGCCTGAGGCAGGCAAGCTCCTCTTCTCCGGGCAGGTTCGCTGGGATCAACCTCAAATGGGGCGTGGAGGATGTGGGGGTTTCCGAAAATAGGGGACCCTAATATAGCACCCTAAATAATAGGATCCCTATTATAAGGACCCCCAAATAAGGTACCCTAATTTTCTGAAACTCCCATGTGGAGCCATAGTTCAAGACTCCCTAGTCCGACGGGAGCTGATTAGACACTCCCGGCAATGATATGTTCCCGACCAGGCCGGCCGCCCACCCACTTTGGAAGGAAAGAACTGCCTCGCAACAAGGCTCTTTAAGCTGCGCTGCATGCACGGAAAATCTACACCAGGTCTTGAGAATTTCTCTTGGCCTTCGAAGAAGGCGTTTCTCCACTTCACTGGGCGGGTCCTGCATGATTGTTTGCCGAAGCTTCGCTCGTTCGGAAGGTTGCCGTGAACTGCCGTCTGGCAACAAGACCGCGGCATTGATTCTACGGCCATACCCTCGTCTTCAACACTCGGAGCAGCACATTAAACTAGTCATTCCACAGAGCTTGTGCAGGAAACGGCTCTTCTTCTTCCGCACCGGACGCATGCTCTTGGGGCTCCATAGTGACTGGGATCAGCACCTTGCCACGCAAGAGCATGTCTAGCATCTTTTGCTGCCATCAAAGCGAATGCCAACTTCAGGAACGCAGGGCATTTCATTGCATTTCGCTTTTCCAGCCTGGAGCGGGGCAGACGTGCTGCACGTGTTGCAGCATGTTGCTTTTTGTGAAACCGCGGACCTGCTCGCGGCAGGTCCAGTGAGCACATGCCTACCGCATTTCGCTCCAGTTCGGCTTTGTTCTGCCCTCCGTTCATTCACGTGCAAGGTACTAGCCTGTTGCTCTCTCTACCAAAAACGCTGCTTGAAGGCGATGTGGAATCAGAGAACACTCAAAGCCACTACTTAAATTCCAACTTCGCAGGCGAATCTGCTGAATCTAGTGCTGCTGCATGTCTTGCCCATTGCCTTTGGCCGAGCCTGACATGCTAGACGGCTAGACAGAGTAGGTCGATGCACATGGCTGGCCTGGCTATCTGCTCCTAGAACAAGCGCTTGTCCAAAGCTAAGTACTGCACAAGATTCTAGAGTCTAGAGCGGGTTCCAACGCGCACACCCCACCGATTTCACTCATCTTCCTCCTCATCTTCCGAAACGTCTCCGTCGTCCTCGTCATCGACAAGGCCTGACGAAGCCGGCTTTTGTGCTTTGCAGCGTAGCTGGCTCTACTGGGGCATCGACCAATCTTCCTGCTGGAGCCTGGCGCCTTGCCCGTCACGCGACTGTATATCGGGCCCTTAGTGAGCCGCAGAAACTGAAGGAACGCACAATGACAGCCTCAGCATGCAGATTCGATGTGATGGCTTGTGATTAGTAGAATAGCACCGGTCTGGTGCCAGTACTGAGCTGGACGTGCCCACGCATGCAACCCGTGGGAATGCTTCCGTGAACTGAGCGAATTCAAGCCAAGGCTGCTATCCTGTGAGAGACAATCTGTGAGCACCAACACCGGCCATGAAGAAGCTGGTGCTTGGGGACCTTCCTTGGTTCCCTCGCCTCATGGATTCCTCTGTGGATGGGAACGGCAGACTTGCACCACGACAATATGGGTGAGTCCCAGAGACATCCACATCACTGCCGCAACATGTGCGCCCCAGGTCGTTTTCTGTTCGGGTGGTGTCTGGCGGCAAGGTCAGCCCACAAGTGGGCGGCTGCTCACAGTAGGCACAAGAGCCCCGTAACACCCTCATCAGTCTGCGGATGGGAACGAAAGCCTGTGCCAGACATATGGTCCAAGCTTCAGATACATCCGAGAATCCGAAACGGCTTGCACCTGTC